CCCGGGGTTGTGATCCCAGCGCAGTTTCCCAGGGCTTCCCCGGGGTTGAGATCCCAGCACAGTTTCCCAGGGCTTCCCCGGGGTTGAGATCCCAGCGCAGTTTCCCAGGGCTTCCCCGGGGTTGAGATCCCAGCGCAGTTTCCCAGCGAACAGGATCCACTGCAGAACTGCCGTTGTGACCTCACGTGCCCGTCTCCATGGACGCGGCTCCCTAACACTGCCAGTCTGGCCAGCAGCCAACTGGAAGCCAGGGAAGCAGCTGGAAAACCTCAGAAGAGGGAAGGTAAGTGCCTTAAAATCCCAAATATTGTACAATCACAACTTCTTCCTTTTCCCACAGGGACTTGGGAATTCTCTGACCCTCGCACAGCCTTAAAACTCATCATTCCCCCAAAATTCCAGAGTCAGTGCAGCCTGAGCTGGGATTTTAGTGGATTTATTCTGGTTTTTTACCCATCTCCTGGAATTTTGCAATTTTCCCTTAAAAACTGACGTGAGTTGTATTAGGAAATGGGAATTTTTAATTGCAAATATTCATGAAAACCATCAGACTTGTCAGACTCCGGCTCTAAATGCTGAATTCCAGCTTTCTGTGCTGGAATAAATAATTCAGAAATTCAGCAAATCCTGAAGTTAATTCTTAAAAAATGTTTGAAAACCTGGATTTCATCAGATTAATGCTTAAAAATATAAAAACCTCCAGAATCTCCTGAAATTGAGACAGGAGATACTGTTTTGGATTGGGAGATACTGTTTTGCAGTGAGAGATACTGTTGTGGGATGGGAGATACTGGTTTGAGATGCAGCTGCCTCTTCAAACACCAGAATCTGTGAGGAAGGAATGGGACGGAACTGGACTCTCTCCTCCAAATTGTAGGAATATCGCAACATTATACAGCAAAAAAGAGAAATCTTTAAAAATGTGCATTTTGGGTTTCTCCTGAGGCAACTTCAGGTGGGAAATACAAATCCAGGTGTGGCACCTGCGCTTCTGCCCCAGACATGGACAGTTCTGGGTCAAACGTTTGAGCTGCCAGAAGAACCAGTTGGAAACCCGAGGGCTGGGGGAAAATGCTCCCTCAGAACTGGCCTGTTTTCCTTCTGTTCCAGTTTTCCAGAGATTGACTGAGATATGGCATCCAAACCTAAGGGGAAAGAAGACCCCATGGCTGCTGGGAAAACCAAGGAAGGAATGAGGAGCAAGGATGGAGAGACATCCACAGAAATAAGTGACGTGGAAAACCTCCTCCGGGAGAGGAAACTGTTCCTGCAGGAGGAATGCGGGATCCTCACGGAACACCTGGACACCTACCTGGGCAGGACAGAGCAGCTCCTGCGGGAAAGCAAATCCCTGGAAGAGGCGGCCCAGGGCACTCGGGATCAGAGCCAGACTTTCCTGTCGTGCGGAGCAAAGCTGGGCCGGGAGCGCCGGGATCTGCTCCTCACCCTGAACGAGCGGAATTGCCGGGATCTGGCCCAAAGCCGGGCGCAGAGGGAGCGGCTGATCCCGCAGTACGCCGGGAAGGAGCAGGAGCTGACGAGCTCCCTGAGGGACACGGAGGCCGAGGCCTCTCTCCTGGACACGGAGCTGGAGGAGCTGGAGCCGTACAAGGAGGTGTTGGCCCAGTCGGAGCAGAGGGTGAAGGAGCTGGAGCAGGAATTGCTGGGGACCAGGATCCGGTGTGCCGAGGAAACCCGCAACGTCAAGAGCAGGTTCCTGCAGGAAAAGGCCGCCTGCGAGCGGGAACTGCAGCGCAGGATGCAGCGGCTCACCTGGAGAGCCGAGGAGGTGGCGCTGCGGGCTCTGATCCAGCACGTGGAGCAGGTGAAGGCGGAGAACAGGCGCCTGCGCCGGGAGCTGCTCGGCCTCATCCAACACTCCCAGGTCCTCAGGGACGCCCAAATGCAGCTGCGGGATCAGCAGGAGCAGCTGCTCCGGGAGAACCAGTGTGCCCAGCGGGTGGCACTGGGGACACCGGCGCGGAGCCCCCGGCGCCGCCGGGACAACCCGCTGTGCCCTCCTGGGCAGGGGTGGCCACGGACCCCGAACCGCCCGAGCCGCAGAAAATAAACACGGCAGCAACCAAAGCCTTTCGGCAGTGGAAGCATGGAAGGGTTTGAGCCCTGATCACAAGGATCCATAAAATATATTCATGGAATATATCCATATCCATGTTCTCCTTCCCTCCCAGGGAGGTGGCGGTGGCCCCATCCCCAGAAGTGGTCAAGATCAGGTTGGATGGGGCTGGGAGCAACCTGGGATAGTGGGAGGTGTCCCTGCCCCTGCAGGGAGGTGAGACTGGGTGGGCTTTAAGGTCCCTCCAACCCAAACCATTCCAGGATTCCATGAAATTAGGGCACCCTCAGTGCAAAAGGCTTGTGTGAGAGAGACGTGTGCCCACGGCAGTGGCTCTGGGGCTCTGCAGGAGGGAGGGACCAGGGACCATCCCCAGGAACTCTGATGTCATTGGGAACAGGTGGGATAGAGCTGGAGCTCTGCTCCAGGCTCTGGATGAGATCCAGGTGTGGATTGCCAGATGACAGAGGCTTCAGTAGTCACTCCTGCCAGGGAAAAGGCTGGTAATCAACTGGTACAAAAAGCCCCTAAACCAACATCCTTGGCTGTAATTTGAGGTGATTTCAGCCCCCCGGGTTTGGCTGCAGGTGAAGGACTCTCCGGAGCACCAACACAAACTCACCAGCCCTGGTGCTGTGGAGTCTTCTCCCAGTGGAGGGCGTTTTGGAAAGACAGGGCAGCCACACCTGTGTTGGCAATCCCAGCCCTCTCCCAACAGCCACGGAAACGAAGGTCTCCACACGAGGCAGCACACGCTGGCAAACACTGGCAAATCAGGATTTTCCCTTATTCCCACCGAGTCGAACTGTTGACCCGGAATGAACCTGATGTGGAGAGTCGGTCCAAGCACCCAGTGAGACACTGGGGAAGCTCCTTGTGCAGCTGCTTTGCTTCAGGCTGCTGCTTCACTAGGGATTTGGATTCCCGCTCATCTACCAAGCAGGAATGCACCGGGAATCCACAGGACTCACAGAATTTGAGCTTGTGCACTTTCAGCAGCAGGGACTAGATCAGGAACAGCATTCCAGACTCTGGGCCAAAGGAAATGCCAGTGGAATGCAGCTCTGATGGGGTGTCCAGATGCAGGCTTTCAGCAGGTGACTCATTATCTCAAAAGGACTTGGGAGAAAGTGTTTCCAGGCTGGAGCAGGAAGGATGGGGGAACAGGAGTGACAGCTACAGGAATGGACTGGAACCAGTTTCAGGTGAATTCAGTTTCCTGCAATCACAGAACACCTGACTGAGCTCACTCAAGCATTGTATCCACTGGGGACGAGACCTCCAGCCTGGTTTTTCAGGGAAGCAATCCTGGTGGAGGCAGGAGAGGTCTCAGCAGAGGAGCAGGAGTCCCTGAGCTCCTTTTCCCTCAAAATGATCCAACTCAAAAGTCTGGAGCCAATCCTGCCCCACTGGCACCAGGCTCTGGGGTCTGGCGCTTCTCCCACCTCCCCTGGAGCTGCTTCCCCTCCCCAGTGGGGCCTCTGGGCCGATGGGTAGGCCCTGGTCTGATGAGGGCTGGAATTTCAGATCCCTCCACTGAAGAGAGGCTGGAGTTTGTCACTGCTGAGATGTGGAGGCCCATCCTGAGCAGCCTCTTCGCTGATTATTTTAGTGTTTATTGAATACCTTGGAAATGGGATGTGCAGAAAGATGGATTGACACTGAAAAAAAAGAAGTGATTTCCACTTTAATACAGATGGTGGCAAAAATCTACATGAATCAAGATGAGGTTTGTTGTAAAATGAGGAAAAAACTGGGAAATAAAGCTAAGAGATGTTAGGAAAAAGGATGGAAGAAGTAGCCAAAGTATGGAAAAAAGCTGAAAAGGATTTCTTCTTCCATATTATCATGGAATTGTGGAATCCCAGGATGGTTTGGGTTAGAAGGACTTAAAAACTCGTCTTGTTCCACTCCATGCCATGGGCAGGGACACCTCCCACTATCCCAGGTTGCTCCAAGCTCCATCCAACCTGGCCTGGAACACTTCCAAGGATCCAGGGGCAGCCACAGCTTCTCTGGGAAATCTGTGCCAGTGCCTCACGACCTTCAACAGGGAAGAATTTATTCCCAATATCTCATCCCATAACCTTGTCCATGGGAAGCCATTCCCCCTTGTCCTGGCACTCCAGGTTCTTGACAAAATCACTGGAGCAGGATGAGTTGGGTTAAAGGAGGAAGGAAACTCATGGGTTGAGCTAAAACCACTTTAATAATTGGAAAGAAAAGTTAAAATATTGGAAGGGAGAAAAAAAGCCCCAAAGAGAAGCAAATCCCCCCTGTGCCCCCACTCAGCTGCACCCCAACACCCCAGCCATGGCTCAGGGAGGGCGTCCCCGGGGCTTGTCCAGTGTCCCCCTGCAGCGGGGGGTCCCCGTGCCCCCCGG